ATTCCTGCATAAAAATGCATAATGAGATCATGATTGTGGAAAACAAACAATTATTGAGAGTAGCAAAAAAGAAAAAAAACCTGTCATGAGTGAATTGCATTTTAAATGTATGAATTAACAGATAAATGACAAATAAACAAGCATCATGTTTTAGACGTGCATTAATAAAATTACTATGAATGTTCTGTATATTAGTGGCATACCGCTTTCTTGTCTCCATCCTTGTCGTCAACGTAGGACAGGACAAAATCGATGTGCCGAACACCATCCTTGAAGTACACAGAGTCCCTGTTCTGTCCAAACTTGTCTATCTACAAAAGAAAAAAGAGATTCAAATCAACAACAGTCCTACTCTCGTACACAACCACATGACCATGTAGATTCATTCAGAGTTGACTTCTGTCACAATGAACAAATGAGACATGACGCATGTGATTCCTATCAACTGTGAGTGTCTCTTATCTTTTTCCAGGTGACAAAACCACAGGTACAGTATGAAGAGAACGGTTACTTCTGCAGAAAGTGTGAAATCAACATGCATACAAACACACATTTACTTAACTACAGTATATAAATGGGGACACTGCATAGACCTCTGCTGTTTTTATGTACAGCTAGATTTAAATACAATAACCTAACCCTAACAGAAAACCTTCTGCAATTCTACAATTTAAGAAAGGTTATTTTTAGACCATATTACAAATGAGGAGGTCCCCAAAATATGGTTAAGCAGGTATACACACACAAACAGACAGGGAAAAAAAAGAAAAAAAGAATAGTGATGTACAAATATGAAAAAAAAACAAACATTAAATGACAAGTGTAGTAATATTATGGCACCTTTCTGAAAAAATGTTTTAAGCTTTCTTGTATGACATAATTTTTATTTGTCACATGAAGAAACACACAAAACAAACAATAAAAAAAAAAAAACTATCCCAGACACAAAACCAATATCAATACCAAAACTAATAAAATTATGTAAAATCAAGTATAACAAAATCTCAGGAAACGGAGGAAACCTCAAGAGATTCATCCTAGTGCAACATCAAATGTCATACTTGTACAAACATGCCTTTGAGGTATGACAGCAAGACATTCAGTTTTTCACTCGAGATACATACACATATCTTACATCATGCATAAAAATCCCACAAGCACGGAGGAGAGGAAAATACCAACTGTACCTTCAAATATGCTGCTCCAGACAGTAAAACAGGCCAAAACAGATAAGTCACAAAAACGCTTGCCTGCTTGGCACGTCTTTCTAAATAAGGCCATTCAGAGACTGAACCAGAGAAAGCCAATAAACTAATAAAGTAGAGGCAGTGTGCCATTCGTGAAGGCATTTTATTGCGTTCTATTATTTTCAAACAGGTACTTTGTTAATCAGCACTACTGATTCGGTGGGACCTTTGTGCGCTGCTGTTAGGAAAAGACATGGAGGATTATTGATCACTATTGATGTCAAAATGACAATCGCAGGCTTCCAAACAATCTATAAAGCAACAACAAATCATCAAAATCAATTAGACTAAAGGGATTCTTAAGAATAGCTATAGAATTTCACATTATCTAATATCTGCACTCATGCAAATTAATTTCTACCAAGCTGCATATTTCAAATAGTAGACATTAGGGTCGTCATATCAAGGCCAAGTAGATGAGAAAGCACTGCTGTTGCCCAACAGAGCTGTAGAAGTGTTAAAAGAGAGTGACAAAGCATTGCATGTGTTTAAGACAGATACTGAAGGTGATGGCTCACCTCTCGTCTAAAAACGCACACTTGGACACAATAAAATGAAATATAACATGAAGTTGGTGTAGTCCAGTCTCAATGTGTTTAGCAGAAATTACCATCATCAATAAAATAAATAATAAAATAAAATTCTAATATTGACTAAATACACCATGTCAATTTAAATAACAAAATAGCAATTAATTATTGATGTAGCAGTTAGTACTGAACAAATGTAATATTCAACCCCAAATGTTTAATATAATTTAAAGTACAATTTAGTCATTTAAAGCTAGCTCTAACAAAGCAACAATCTCTCCTAGGTCCTGACTATGAATAGGGTATCCATACCTCAGTTTTAGCAGTCATAACTTTCATAAAGTGCTCCAATGGTGAGAGCATTTACAAAATGTTCATGTTGCAAGCAGTGCTAGCAAATGCTAACTAAGCTGCACACTCTCTCACACAGAGACCTCTGATAAGAGTGGGTCACTGCCCCTTACTGTAGACACCTCTGGGACACATGCCTTTGCCTGGAGACTCTCCTGTGACGATCTGGTTTATACTGTTCTGACTGAGATCACAGTGCTGCTCATTGTAATACTTCATCATTTAATACAAAGCAGAGCTACAGCTTCAACTCTAGATGCCCTCTCACCAAACTGATATCACAAGGGTGACTAATTCCATAACCTTGCAGTTCCCTTTCATGGGAACTTCGAACTGCGTCCTCTAGGGGTCGCTATGGGGAATGCCTCGTCGTGACCCGTGTCTGAAGCATACATTGAAAAAACACCAACTCGTTGGCCGGCGACAGCCATGATGTAACTACCGGTGCGACTATAGAATAAATAGGCGCCGGGAGCACACATCATTCTCTTCTTCGTCTTCATTGAC